ATAATTTTATATAATTATAAATAAACGGACATATATAAAATATTTTTTAACTGCTCATACTTTACTATTAGTTTACTATTAGTTCTTATTAGTTAAATATTTTTTTCTTGTAAGAAAATTATACTTTTTTAATATAATAAAAATTCATTTTTCTATTGAATCTTGTAATACAAAACTCAATAATCAAGCACCCCGATTTGTGAGAGATGAGGGGATTCATAATAATCAAAAATATCCCGATTTGTTAGAAACAATCAAGTGACTATTATCCTTATAACTTTTTACTTAAAAATATACATAGAAAGTAGCAGAAGTGACATAGAAATACATCGTACACGTTAAAAATAAGAAATTGTAGTATTCTATTTCGAAAAGTGACGCCCCGAGGAGGTCAAACGGTTTATTAGAGGGATGCTTGTGGAGTTTTTTATCAGGACTTTTTATCGGCAAGATCCACAATATATCAAATTTTCAATTCGACCGAAATTCAATTTCCATAAGGTTTATGCGATGTCGTTTTGAAACACAGTCATAATATATTGGAAAGAAAACTACAATAAATTAAAGATCTTGTAATCAGAGACTTACAGCATAAGAGGGCCACTTTCTAGTAATTTAGTCAGAGTGAGATAGCACATATTTTTTTTTCTTTCATGCCATTACAGAACGAGATAGCACTTATTTTTTCTCATTCATAAGATGTTATTAAAAAGACGACACGTTTTTATTACTCTCTAATTAAAGGATACTAATAGAAAACTGCAATAAACTTGATAGAAAAAAAGGAAGGTATACAATACTTTTTTTCGACTTTCTTATTATATATTATAGTAGAATATCTGAACAGTATTAGCCAATCAATGAATCCTTGACGAAGAGAGCAATACAATCTTTATTAGAGTCTAAATTCTTATATAAGTCTATCCAATACGCTCTATATTTTAATCAATATTTTGCTCTTGAAGTATTTTACAGAAGATGTTCATTTCGGGAACGATTTTTCAAAGAAGATGAGAATCAAAATCTCGTGCATATTTCGAAAGCATATAAATAAAGAAATATTTTGTTTACAACTTATTCGTTTTCTGTATTTTATATCTGACGTTTTATTCTTGTACTAATATATTCGTCGAACTTTATTGGTGTATATTTTTTAAATCCTTATAGATATATTAATCGTGTTATAACTGTTCTTAAAAATATACAAAAAGTATTTAATTTTATTGTACTAACTTTTTGATTTTATAATTTAAGAGGGGAGTGCTAACTTGTTGCACAAAATCGCGATTGAAAATGATGCTGCTGACTTAGCATTATCACTTTCAATCGCGTTTTTTGCTAAATTGAGAAAATTTAGGATTAGAGCACATAATTAGTATTTAATTCACAAAAGCATTTAATTCTTGTTATTTTTTTTGTGGGAGGCAAGTTTAACAGAAATAAAGTACAACAGAAAGTACGTGTTTTGAATTTCCTCGACACTCGCGTAAATTTAAACGACTTTTATAATTTCACGTGTGTATTCAAATTTCGAAATACATAGCACGTATTTGAAAGAAATATTAAAGTCACATTAACGTTTTTTATGCAATCATCGTATTTGCTTCATACTGGTTTTTTACAATTGTTAGTTACAATTTCGTACAGTTAAATAAAATGTTTTTTTCATTAAATGCATATTTTGACCGTACGAAGGGCATTAATGGGTTTTATAAATAATTAAAATTTAAAAAACAACTTTTTTTAAAAAAAAACCCGGAAAATTTTTCAAAAAATCGAAAAAAATTTTTTTTCAATTTTCGAAAAACTTTTTAACTTTGACATTCTTAAAATGCATAAAATTCTGGATATTAAAAAAAAGTTTGCTCTACCTTCTATCCAAAACTGATAAGCAAATCAAAATTTTTACAACAATGCAATTTCTTTCTCAATTTTTTCAAAATTTTTGCTTTGACACACATTTTTGTGACCATAAAAACTATATTTTCTCGTATTATCATTAATATATATGCATTTAAGCATCGCATAATTTCACATGCAAAAACATTAATTATTTATTTAAAAAAAAAATTATATAATTTAAAACAATTGTAAAAAGCCAATACGTTAAAAAACGTTAATGACTTGATTTAATAAAATGCCGAGAAATGGATATTTTTTTTTACATCTACTTTCAGAATCTCTTTGATTTTTTCATGGAGGGAATGTGTATTGTGATATAAGTATTACTTAGGCTCAGTTTCACAACTTACGATTAACTCTTATAACTGAGGTTTGTTTCTTATCTCTTTCTAATTCTAGAATTAAAATGAGACAATGAATAAGTTGAACCTCAATTAAGAGTTAACTGTGAATTGTGAAACTGAGCCTTAATCAAATAGAATTATTTTAGATCAGTTTTTCATTGCTCCAATTAATGAAACTCCGATTAATTTAATCGATGATTAATTCAATTAACAGTAAAACTATTAGATGATTTATTATCTCTAATCTTTCTACACAAACAAAAAAATCAATAAATTTATCCTGTAAAAATCTAAACAGTTTTTTTTATACTATCTCCTTTTATAAATGCCTACAATTTTATAAGAGAGAAACTTTAATTTTAAATTCCCTTTTAAACTTAAATTTATCTTAAAATGAAAATATATAATAATAACAAACATTTTATTAATTTTCTCCCACAAGAACAAGTAAAAATAAATAAATAAATAAATAAATAATTTATCTTATAATATAAAGTATTATAATCAAGTTCCTGAAATTGAATCGAGCACAATAGTACATATGATGTACATATGGTATACATATAGTGACCGTGTTTCATTTCAAATTTACTACCAGCACTGAAAATGCTCCAGTTACACACTATAGATTTTCAATACTGGCAGTCAATATTGGAATACAGTCAGTATGTACAAAAGTGACAAGTCACCTAGGTAACAGATAAACAAGAGAGTTGTAATCGCTGCTAAATAGGTTGTATCTTTGATATTGTTTGATATGGCTGAGGATATCGCGGTAAGCCTCCTCGCTCAATATTACGGAATTTCCGAAGAATCGGAAACTAAAAAATTTCCATCGATCCAGGAATGCGTGAGCAGTATAGAAAATGACTCTGATAAATTGATTGACGAGCAATCGACCGTGGATACAAACGGTGATGATACATCCAAGGAAACGGAAGTGCAGGTGCAAATTTTAATACAACTCTGTTATTATTATTAAACTGGATTTATTTTTTATAAATAATAGTGACAACTGTGTAATTATCCAAACACGATAACAAGAATAGCAGATATTTTATTATTTCGAAAGAGCATAAAAAATTAAGTTTTATAAAAAGATTTCAGAGCATAAAAAATTAATTATTCTTTCGATTTTAATGATAGAAATATCATATTATCATTGCTGATATATGTTTGGATAAATTGAAAAATATCTTTTAAATATAATATAACTGAAATATCTTATAAATATAATTCGACTAAATTAGATTTTATAAAAAATCTGGGTGATTTTTACTGTTCAAATTAATTTAATTAAAAATCTTTTTTACTTAAATCAAAATTAGATAGAGTTTCTAAGAATTAACGCGGGATATTGTTATGAATTATGATTTATTTAATATAAAAATTACAATAGTATATGTTTCGACCCATAATTAAGATTCTTTTTAGTAATTAAATCTTAAAATAATAAAGTGAGATTTCTACATTATAATTAATCACAAAGTGAACTTAAAAATTGAAAATCGTAACAAAAATAAGCTGTATTAAAAAATCCATATCATTTATTGAAAAAATACTGCGGTAAA